AACAGCCTGTGCAAAGGCTCAGAGGCACCAAACATCCTCACGTCCGTGGAAAGGAAAATAAGGATTTACTCTACAGGCAAGGAAAGGGACCACAAAAGGGCATGGGTGGATTCACTATTTCATAGGCTCCCCTGGGAGCCTATGATGGGGGTGGGGGAAGGGTACAGGGGAGCAGCCCTGTAGGGCTGTAGCCTGGCCAAAGAGGCTGGGAAGGCGGGACGGGGAGACTCAGAGAGGGAATGGAGCCTCCTTCCTAACGCCTTCACATGTCCCCCTCACACAGCTCTGCCCTTCCCACCTCCATCCCCTTCTCCCTCTGTTCCCTGGCACTCAGTGGAGCCCATTTCACTGGGCCAGGAAGGCAAGGCTGTGCCCTCCTTGATTTCTCTGCTGCTTCTCCAGCTCCTTCATTCTTGCCCAAAAATATTCAAAGTGATTTTCCTATAATTAGGCCTCTCCCCAGGGCGACTTAGTGCCCTTGCCTCCATGAAGAATGGCTTCTGGCCACATTCCCTTCTCCCCAGGGGGCTTGACTTCTCCCAGTTCTCCAACTTTCTCATCTCCAGGGAACCTTTCTAAAACCCAAACTCTGAGGGTGTCACAGCCCTGCCTAAAATCTGCCAGTAGCTCCCTATGCCTGCAGAACTGAGACTCAGTTCCTCCACCCATCCTCAAAACCTTCTGTGAGCTGATCCCACCCACCTCACCTCTCAACACTACCCCTAAGCAATACAGAACTAGTTTTGTTTTTCTCGACACATTACTTCACACTTTTGTGCCTTTCTGCAAGTTGATCCTTCTGCCCAGGACACTCTCTGCCTTCTCTTGAGCCTGATTAATTCCTTCAAGTCTCAAAACTAAAGTCACCTCCTCTAGGAAGTCTCCCCTGATCTCACCCCCCTGCGAAGTCTGAATGGAGTATTTCTCTGTGTTTTCATGGCGCCAGTACTTGAATCCATCACAGAAGACATCACCATCTGTCATTATTATCTGCTAATATGTCTTTTCCCCCCACTAGAAAGAGCTTTGGAGGGCAGAGCCTGTCTTATTTCTGACCAGGGGCCTTGTGAGGGGGAGAGGCCCCACAAAGGGAGGGGGATCCCTCCAAAATGTAGGGCTAAGGATGTGGTGAGTGAGGCAGAGGCTCAGGGAGGCAAGCATATGGATGGAGCTCACTGAGTATTTGATAGAGTGTGGGGTGAGGGATTGGATAGGAATGGGGGCTTGGGGTAGATTGGGTAAAGGTCAGGAAGGGGTGGAGAGGAACTTGCCATGACCCAAGTGAGGAATGACCTTGGTACTGGGGTGGCATCTAGCCTTAGAGGAACTAGATTCAGTAAGCGTTAAGTTGGTAGGGGTGCGGGGGTGCTGACAGGGAATGGGGCCTCAGTGAGGGGGTAGGCAAGGGCCCTCCTCAGGCCTCACACTCTCCCAGGAGACACGTCTATTCCTGGAGTCTGGGGTTGTCCAGGTGCATGTCCCCCTGGGAAGACCCAACATTCTTTAACTCAATTGGGAGCTTAGTTTAAATCTTTACTTTTTTTTACTGGAGCCTGAATAGACTTTGAACTGGCCTGTTTGAATCTCAAGCCACCCCTTCTTATCCCCTCCTGCAGCTGGACCACGTTGCTCCCCTGATAAAAACCTTTCAGTGGCTCCTCACTACCCATAGCTCAAGTCAGGTCAAGTGTAAACTCCTCAGCCTGACAAGTACAAAGTGTTCCACCATCTGACCTCTGTGGCATCATCCCCCAGGATGCTCGCTCGGCTCCAGACAGCTGTGGGTGCTCTATCCTAAGGGATGTTGGACTTTTCGTTTTACCAGCATAACCCTTCTTTTGAACAGAAAAGCTCCTCCATGTATGAAACAGATATGAACACAGCTGCCCCAGTTAAAATTCTAGGGCTCCCCTGAACTTTGCTTAGAAATCATTTCTCCAGGTATTACTCCTCGATGTACTTCACTTCCTGAGCAAAGTCTCTGCCTCCTACGAAATCCATACCTGTGGACATGTTTGTCCCTCTGCCCTGAATGCCCTCTCCCTCCCCCATCCCACAACTTTGCCTAGAGATCATCCACTGATCTCTAAAACACAACTCAGGAGGCACTTGCTCTGGGCCCTCCCAGCCCCTCCCCTACCCCCAGCTTTCCTCCTGTAGCCTCATTGCGAGGTGACACTGGGTTGGAATTGTCTCTTCCTCCCCTCTCCCCAGACTCATCTCTGGGACCCAGGGTCAGGCTCTGTATGTTCCAAATGGAATTTTGTGGAATGGCCCAAGGAATGAATGGGGCTTCAGCCAGGGAGGAGGGACTCTACTGGTCAGTGTGAAAGGGGGCAAAAGCTCCAGATGGAGGACGGGGCAGTGAGAAGCAGCAAAAGGGGGGTTCTCATTTCTCGATGAGCCAGGGTTCAGCGAAGGAATGGGGCTAGCGAGGGGGCCTAGGAATCCTGCAGAAGGGTCTCAGTAAGGAGAAGGAGCACTCAATGCGAGGGAATGTGAAAGGCAGGAAATCCAGGTCGGAAGGCAGTCAGGAGAAGGCGAGGGCCAGTGAGAACGAGTGAAGAGAGGGCTTGGGGTGGGGATGGGTCCTCAGTGAGTGGAAGATGAGAAGGATGCCCTGCCGGGGTTCATAATTCATAGCTAAAGAATTCTTTGCTCAACTTCTCCCCTTCCATGCAGGGAGACCATCACTCATACCTGAGATCGGCCATTTCTAGGCTCACGACTGGCGGGTGGCTTCAGATCCAAGCTATATCAGGTGGCTTCTAGTGGCCCTACCAACCTGCAGTCACAGGACAGAGTCCAAAGTCCTGAGGCTCATATACATAGAAGCCTAGCTCTGATCCAAAGGCTGCCCACATGGTCCTAAGTGGTCCTTCCACATGGTCCTAAGTCAAGAGTAGCCACACACAGGTGTCTCGCTCCTCTTTCTTCCCTCCCCTACTTCCCCAGACATCTTAAGGCAAAATGATGCACACATTGTTTATATAACAACGACATGCATCCTGAAGTCAATACCGAGCTTGATATTTCACAAAGATTTCACTGTATATAATCATCTCATGGAAGCCTTACTATATTCCTCTGTAATGACACCTGCAGCTTTACTTAACAAGCATTGCCTAGCAGCCTCTCCCCTCATCTCTCTCTGACCTATGTCCCTCTTGGACCCTCACTGCACCTGGCGTCTTTCCCCCTGACCTTACCCCATTCTCATAGGCCACCATTAAGGGATGTCTGTCACTCACAGTACTTGGTAATAACAGCTGCTGCCAAAGCTGTGGGGTGTGGCTGTATCGAAACCATTAAAATTGCCGTATTTGATTGGCCATTGTTGAGACCGGCCCTGTCTGATGGCCGGGCCAGTACTTTTTTTTTCTTTCTTTCTTTTTTTTTTTTTAGTGCAACAGTTTAGAACAACAGGTCTGGTTTTGATGGGTGTGTGGCTCTGGGTATGTGGATCTGCGTGTGTGAGTGGCAGCATGACCACTAGTGTGCGTCGCACGTGCACGAGTGACTCCTCTCACAGTCTCTCTCTCACCTCGGAAAGAGAGGAGACTGATTATAAACTGCTAGACCGCATCTGGCCCGTGGAGTCCAAAATACTGGCTGCGACAGATGAGAAGGGAGGAAAATCAAGGCCTCGCTGCTGATTAAACCTAACCGTCTCTAATTGTTTGTTATGGCAAGGATTTTCAGCTTCACCAGTTCTCTGAGCTTCTCTCCCTGGGCTGGGTTCTGCCCTTGGCTGTACCCGTGGAGACCCAACCAAACTCTGCTGCCTTTCAACCTGTACTGGTGGCCTTGGTCTGCAGCCCTCAAAAGTGAAGCAAGAGGTAGCTAGGCCAGGCTGCAGCAGAGCTGCCCACCTGTGGGTGTGACATCTCTGATGGGAGATGTCGAGAGAACAGCCTTGGGGTTGAGCCTCAGGTCTATCACTCAGGCCTCCATGCCATTCCCTACATGTGTCTCTCACACGCGATGGCCACTCCCACAACATAACGGGGCAGGTACAGAACCTCCATCACTGGAGACTTTAAGCAGAAGCTAGAAGATCTACTCAGGGAGCACCTGGGATGGGACTCTGTGAGGGATGGCAAGGGAAGTGGGGACAGGTTCATCTCGAACTCTATTGAGTGCTGCTTTCCAGAAGATAGGCTCACAGGAATTAGGAGAACTGGGTTAAAATGCCGACTGTGTGTCCTTAGGCCTGTCATCTCTTCCCTTTCCTTAGCCTCAGTTTCCCCATCTGTACAATAACACGATTTATTTTATTTCAAGCTGTGATAACCCTTTCTTCTAATGATACCTTATGTAGACTCTTACAGAGAGCAAGAAAGAGCAAAGTTGCTCTGGTTGGAAGGGCCGCGGGGCCTGACTCCTGCCCGCTTGCCTCCCCGTCACTCCCCCCACCGCCACCAATGCAGCTC